CTATGGTGACAGGAGGTCACCTGGAGTGGCTATGGTGACAGGAGGTCACCTGGAGTGGCTATGGTGACAGGAGGACACCTGGAGTGGCTATGGTGACAGGAGGTCACCTGGAGTGGCTATGGTGACAGGAGGTCACCTGGAGTGGTTATGGTGACTGACAGGAGGACACCTGGAGTGGCTATGGTGACAGGAGGACACCTGGAGTGGCTATGGTGACAGGAGGCACCTAGAGTGGCTATGGTGACAGGAGGACACCTGGAGTGGCTATGGTGACAGGAGGACACCTGGAGTGGCTATGGTGACAGGAGACACCTGGAGTGGCTATGGTGACAGGAGACACCTGGAGTGGCTATGGTGACAGGAGGACACCTGGAGTGGCTATGGTGACAGGAGGACACCTGGAGTGGCTATGGTGACAGGAGGACACCTGGAGTGGCTATGGTGACTGACAGGAGGACACCTGGAGTGGCTATGGTGACTGACAGGAGGACACCTGGAGTGGCTATGGTGACAGGAGGACACCTGGAGTGGCTATGGTGACAGGAGGTCACCTGGAGTGGCTATGGTGACAGGAGACACCTGGAGTGGCTATGGTGACAGGAGGCACCTGGAGTGGCTATGGTGACAGGAGGACACCTGGAGTGGCTATGGTGACAGGAGGCACCTGGAGTGGCTATGGTGACAGGAGGACACCTGGAGTGGCTATGGTGACAGGAGGACACCTGGAGTGGCTATGGTGACAGGAGACACCTGGAGTGGCTATGGTGACAGGAGGCACCTGGAGTGGCTATGGTGACTGACAGGAGGACACCTGGAGTAGCTATGGTGACAGGAGGACACCTGGAGTGGCTATGGTGACTGACAGGAGGACACCTGGAGTAGCTATGGTGACAGGAGGACACCTGGAGTGGCTATGGTGACAGGAGGACACCTGGAGTGGCTATGGTGACTGACAGGAGGACACCTGGAGTAGCTATGGTGACAGGAGGACACCTGGAGTGGCTATGGTGACAGGAGGACACCTGGAGTGGCTATGGTGACAGGAGGTCACCTGGAGTGGCTATGGTGACAGGAGGTCACGTGGAGTGGCTATGGTGACAGGAGGACACCTGGAGTGGCTATGGTGACAGGAGGACACCTGGAGTGGCTATGGTGACTGACAGGAGACACCTGGAGTGGTTATGGTGACAGGAGGACACCTGGAGTGGCTATGGTGACAGGAGGACACCTGGAGTGGCTATGGTGACTGACAGGAGGACACCTGGAGTAGCTATGGTGACAGGAGGACACCTGGAGTGGCTATGGTGACAGGAGGACACCTGGAGTGGCTATGGTGACAGGAGGACACCTGGAGTGGCTATGGTGACAGGAGGACACCTGGAGTAGCTATGGTGACAGGAGGACACCTGGAGTGGCTATGGTGACTGACAGGAGGACACCTGGAGTGGCTATGGTGACAGGACACCTGGAGTGGCTATGGTGACTGACAGGAGGCACCTGGAGTAGCTATGGTGACAGGAGGACACCTGGAGTGGCTATGGTGACAGGAGGACACCTGGAGTGGTTATGGTGACAGGAGGACACCTGGAGTGGCTATGGTGACAGGAGGTCACCTGGAGTGGCTATGGTGACAGGAGGACACCTGGAGTGGCTATGGTGACTGACAGGAGGACACCTGGAGTGGCTATGGTGACAGGAGGCACCTGGAGTGGCTATGGTGACAGGAGGACACCTGGAGTGGCTATGGTGACAGGAGGACACCTGGAGTGGCTATGGTGACAGGAGGACACCTGGAGTGGCTATGGTGACAGGAGGTCACCTGGAGTGGCTATGGTGACAGGAGGTCACCTGGAGTGGCTATGGTGACTGACAGGAGGACACCTGGAGTGGCTATGGTGACAGGAGGCACCTGGAGTGGTTATGGTGACAGGAGGACACCTGGAGTGGCTATGGTGACAGGAGGACACCTGGAGTGGCTATGGTGACAGGAGGACACCTGGAGTGGCTATGGTGACAGGAGGACACCTGGAGTGGCTATGGTGACAGGAGGACACCTGGAGTGGTTATGGTGACAGGAGGACACCTGGAGTGGCTATGGTGACAGGAGGCACCTGGAGTAGCTATGGTGACAGGAGGACACCTGGAGTGGCTATGGTGACAGGAGGACACCTGGAGTGGCTATGGTGACAGGAGGCACCTGGAGTGGCTATGGTGACAGGAGGACACCTGGAGTGGCTATGGTGACAGGAGGACACCTGGAGTGGCTATGGTGACAGGAGACACCTGGAGTGGTTATGGTGACAGGAGGCACCTGGAGTGGCTATGGTGACAGGAGGACACCTGGAGTGGCTATGGTGACAGGAGGCACCTGGAGTGGCTATGGTGACAGGAGGTCGAGGTGTTATTCTGACATGTTATTTTGCTTAATCTAATCATTTCACAATGTGTTTTTAAAAACTACAGCCCCATGTGGTGGCACAAACAAACAAACAAATAAATAAATAAAAGAACAGCTGTTTTGGTTAATCCCAGCAATCAGGAGGCAGATCTCTGAGTTCAAAGCCAGCCTGATCTACAGAGCAAGATCCAGGACAGCCTGGGCTACACAGAGAAACCCTGTCTTGAAAAACAAAACAAAACAAAAATAATAAATAAAAATAAAAAACACTACTTTGTACCCTACATATACATACCGTACCATTTAATACCTAGTAAGAAACCACAAGCTGCCGGGCTGTGGTGGCGCATACCTTTAATCCCAGCACTTGGGAGGCAGAGGCAGGAGGATCTCTATGAGTTCAAGGCCAGCCAGAGCTGTTATACAGAGAAACCCTGTGTCAGGGGGAAAAAAGTGCAAGCATTAATGAAATTCAAGGAATGAGAATAGGAAGTCTGAGCTCTTTAAATATCAAACAGTTTGTGTAAACAAATTAGTTTATTTTTAAGAAAACAAAATCATAATAAAAACCATTTCTAAGAAAATAGGGATGAGCTGTAAAAAGAAAAACTGTGTCACAATTTCCTTAAGGTAAAAACTGATTCTACAATGAATTCAACGGGTCCTGGTTCCTTCAACAATTCTCAGAAAAGAACTGGGCCTGTCAATCACAGCAACTGTCAATTCCTGTTTTCCTTACAGAAGGAAAACAGCGAACAGAGTGATGCAAACGATTCCTGCTCCGTGACCCAGGATGTACTGAGCAGAACTGACTGCCACAAGTAACCCTCCGGCCTACAGAGAGACGACAGACAGACAGACAGACAGACACACACACACACAAAGAATGACAACACACAGACACAGAGAGACAGACACACACACACACACAGAATGACAGACACACACACACACAAAGAATGACAACACACAGACACAGAGAGACAGACAGACAGACAGACAGACACACACACACACACACACACACAGAATGACAGACACACAGACACACACACACAAAGAATGACAACACACAGACACAGACAGAGAGACAGACAGACGGACCCAAACCTTCACAATTTTAATTAGAATAATCGAGTGTTTAGGATAGTACATGGAAGAACTGGGGTAAACTTGTGGGGATGGGAAGCCTATTTCCTATGAAATGATTAAATCTAAAATGAGTAAGAAAGGCGGGCTGGAGAAACGGCTCAGCAGTTGAGTGCACTGGCTGCTCTTGCAGAGGACTCAGGTTTGCTTCCTCGTACCCAAACAGCTGCTCACAACCATCTCTAACTCCAGTTCTGGAGGATCCAACACGATTTTCTTTTTTTTTTCAAACCATTTATTTATTTATTTATTTATTTATTTATTTATTTATTTATTTATTTATTTTTTGGTTTTTCGAGACAGGGTTTCTCTGTGTAGCTTTGCGCCTTTCCTGGAACTCACTTGGTAGCCCAGGCTGGCCTCGAACTCACAGAGATCCGCCTGGCTCTGCCTCCCAAGTGCTGGGATTAAAGGCGTGCGCCACCACCGCCCGGCAAACCATTTATTTATTATGTATACAGTGTTCTGCCTTCATGTCAGAAGAGGCACCAGATCTCATTACAGATGGTTGTGAACCACCATGTGGTTGCTGAGAATTGAACTCAGGACCTCTGGAAGAGCAGTCAGTGCTCTTAACCTCTGAGCCATCTCTCCAGCCCCACAACACGATTTTCTGGCCTTTTCTGGCCTCTTCTGGCATCAGGTGCACACATGGTTCATATACATCCATGCAGGAAAACCATGCATACATATAAAATAACGTAATAATGAATATATTTTAAGTGATCCTAAATTGACATTGTGACTGGACTATTTCTCCCATGAGAATGTAAATTCAACCTGTCCACTGCAAACACTCTTGAGTTTCCTACAAGAGATGAAGCTACGTGGTTAAACACCAGCAACCTTTCAGTCTACACAGCTCGGTGTGTCTGTGCACGCTGGTGCCTTAGAGGGGATCCGAGTGTGTCTTCATCAGTGGCAACAGGAAAGTTACTGCAGCAGGGGGGCCAAGGAGATGGGGCAGCCGGGAAAGAGCCTGCCAGGCCAGCATGAGGACCCCAGTTTGATCCACAGAACCCAAGTGAACCGAGGCACGATGGCACATGCCTGCGGTCCTGGTTCTGGGGAGACAGAGACTTCGGGTGCTTACTGAGCAGCCAGCCTAGTCTCATTTGTGACCCCTGGGTCCCAGTGAGGGACTGTCTCAAAAAACAAGGTGGAGAAGAGGTCTCCAACACACATGCACACACACATGCATGTATATGTGCATACACACAAACAGTAACACAGGCTGTGTGTGGTGGCCCATGTCTTTAATCTTAGCACTTGGAAGGCAGATCTCTGTGAGTTCAAGGCCAGCCTGGTCTACATTTTGAGTTCCAGGGCAGCCATAGCTAATAGTGAGACCCTGTCTTAAAACAACAACAGAAAAGAGCGGTGAGACTCTCAGAGTGGCCTGCAGGACGCTCTGACAACATGATCCCCACACAAAAGAGTCAGTAGTCTGGGGTTGAGTGACAAGTAAAGCGAGACCTTTATTAAGAGAACCGTGTGCATTGGAGACGTTACCAAGGACTCTACTGACTCACAATACCCGTGAGAGGATGCTGACATCATCGCTCCCATCTAATGAGACAACAAACAGAAAAATCAACAGACTTGCTCCCAAGTTCACGACTAGTCATGAACAGAAAAGAAGCCACCAGCATTGTCAGTTGGTCCTCGGGCTGCCCTTCATAGACCTCCACACTGGCGTGCTCTAGTCTGTGTCTTCTCCTTGTTTATGAACGCTTCTTGGATAGGATAACTTGGACAACGAAGAATGCACAGAGAGCAGGTTTCATGGTTTGTTTTCCCCAGCACACCTAACTGTACAGTATGTGTGAGAGGGATAGTTATTGCATTAGATTCTAAGAATAGAAATGTGTGATTGGCTCTGTCTTTATCTATACCAGAGACAAAGCCGGCATTTTGAGGGAAATGTAACGAAGCGAGACGCATCTAGATGAAGGCGCAGCAATCCGCAGCTGCTTCACACGCTGTGCTCAGTGAGGCCTCCCTCTCGGGGAGGCAAGCTCAGGAAACTAAGGCCTGCATTACAAGTTGCATATGCTACCGTCGATATTACCGTTTGACAGCAAAAGGCTATATAAAAATCCCTCGGGTTAAAAGTGCAACACAGAATCTTTACAGCAAAGGAAAGGCCCACAGAAATACGCACGGGCGAGCACACACTCAAAGGTGGAGAGGGGCGTCTGGAGTGGAGTGTGAACTCTCGGGACACCGCACATACATTGTGCAGCATCCGGTCACCCAGGGCCTGAGGGCTAGAGCACAGGGACTCAGGACTAAGAATCCAACGTCTGGCTTTGGGGAGAAGTCTGTATCTTTAGCTAATTATTCCACGTCTTGTGACATGCGTCTGAACCGCATCTGTCTCAGGGTCACTCGCTTGAGTGTGTGATGCGGAAGGTGTTGAGCCACATGAGACAGCCGGGAGCACGGAAGCTGCATGGTAAGGTGGGAAGCACATTGCTCAGCTGCCTGACGTCTTTTTTAGTCACTCTAAAAAATGGCGTTTTTCTGAGTCTGTTATCCCTTCTCAAATAAAAGTCATGTTAGAGACATGATTTTTAAAGGGAGCTTTCAAACTAGTCCTTTTAAAGATTTAAAAATCTTCATATAAAAAGTTCTTTAATACATACGCACAAACATTTGTTCCTTTAAAAATAATCTCATTTCCAAGCCAAAATAAATTACAAATGGCAGAAATACCTTCTCTAATAGCTCAGGGCTTCTTCTAGAGTCACGGAGCTGTATATGTTGCACATTTCTAAACATCAAAGATACTGCGACAGGGAATACCTCTAAACACCAAGACAACAGAACCCTGGCCTGGGACACATACCAACCTTAGAGTCTTGGGGATAAACCTGACATTCAGCATCCTGTGTTATGTGTTGTGTAGTCATGTATTATATACATATTAACTTGTCCAATCAATGGAAAACCTAGACATTTTGCAAAAGCAATTCAGAACTGAGGGCATAAAACTGTGAGGAAATAGAACACTGAGTGCCTGCACGGTCTGTTCCATTTGGCGATGTGTAAATTATACCAGAGATAAAGTTATCTACGAAAAGAACAGGAGGAGGGTGCAATCCGAGAGGCGATCTCAAGTCCAGAGCTCTTCGGTTCTTCCAAATTTGTAGATCAGAGTGCTGGAAAGGGAGGGACAAAGCGGTGAGATGACATGAACCGAGTACAGGGCTCGAGTCCAAGCGGCTGTGGTGGGCATGCCCAGTTATCAACGTCTAAAACCAAATGCAGGACCAGAGGAGCTGTGAGGGGGTGCTCACTTTATAAAGCAGCTGCACTGTGGTGTCTGGGGGCGAAGAACACCCCACAATGCCTGGACAGCTACTACGAAGGAAACATGTTCAAGAGCGGGGCAGCCTTGTGGCGGTGATGGGTACAAGGACACTTTACAGGTCTAAGAGCACCTTTATCTGTGCATGGCCACTGAAACACGCTAAAACAGACCAGACTGTAATTCTCCATTCCTTAGCAGTTACTGTAGGCTGAACACTGGCCTGCACCCGGCCTCTGGCTAAGTGCTGGGACATGGCTGAATCAAAAGGAACCAATATGCTCGAGTCTCATGAGGGCAGTAACGGTGCATTGTCAAAGTCCAACTGTAAAAACATGCTGTGAAGGAGTGCATGTGGTGTCTACCATAACAGATAAGAAGCATCTGACCCCATTGGCCCACCACCTACGAGGTAGAGGCAGGGGGGTCAGAAGTTCAGGGTCATCCTCCACTATGGTGAGCTTGAGGCCAGCCTGAGATAAACAAAACTTGGGCTAAAAAACATTGTATCAAAACAGGATACCAAAAACTACAATCCCAGCAAACTGCATGGAAAGCTACAAATGAGGGGAAAGAAACCCAAACTGAAAAATAACTAGAAAACAGCGCAGGCCTTAGACAAGGATATCATCAAAAGAGTTTTAAACAGTCAGGTGTGCTCACACGAACAGACACACAGCATGCTAAGGAGAGACAAAGAAGACACCAGAAGACCTGACCTGAGCTTCTAGGGCTGAAAACCCAGTGTCTGAGGTGAGCAGTCCGCCTGGACCCTGAAGAAGCTCAGCTCAGCCAGCCTCAAGACAACGCTAGGAACTAGCCAACGGGCATGGGGAGAAGACAATGGAAAAGCAAAACGCAAGGGCAGGGCGGGCGCAGAGTCACACAGCTGGAGCAGCTGGAGTGATTCTACCAGTACAACGTACTGAGCTGCACCATGGCTCCTCCAGTCCCAGCTCTGAGGCTGAGGCAGGAGGATCATGGAGTTGGAGGGCAGCCTAGGCAACACAGAAAGACCCTGCATTATTGGGTCGGGGAGGAAGGGAGGAGGAGGAGGAGGGAGGAGAGGCAGAGGAGGGAAAATGGAGGAGGAGGTGCAGGAGGAGGGAGGAAGGGGAGGGGCAGTGAAAGGCACAGCGGTCATCACCACGGCCCAGCGCTACTATACAGAGAAACCCAGAACCCAAGGAAGACAAGACGGACAGAAAGACAGTCAAAGAAAGATTAGTTTGCTGTGGGGTGTCAAATTGCTCTGGTCAATAAATAAAACACTGATTGGCCAGTGGCCAGGCAGGAAGTATAGGCAGGACTAACAGAGAGGAGAAAAGAAAGAACAGGAAGGCTGAGTCAGAGAGACACTGCCAGCCGCCACCATGACAAGCAGCATGTGAAGATGCTGGTAAGCCACAAGCCACGTGGCAAGGTATAGATTAATGGAAATGGATTAATTTAAGCTGTAAGAACAGTTAGCAAGAAGCCTGCCACGGCCATACAGTTTGTAACCAATATAAGTCTCTGTGTTTACTTGGTCGGGTCTGAGCGGCTGTGGGACTGGCCGGTGAGAGAGATTTGTCCTGACTGTGGGTCAGGCAGGAAAACTCTAGCTACATTAGTTTATAAGTCTGAATTTCATGAAATCTATAGACTGATTTTTTTTTTTTTTTTTTTGGTTTTTCGAGACAGGGTTTTTCTGTGTAGCTTTGCGCCTTTCCTGGAACTCGCTTTGGAGACCAGGCTGGCCTCGAACTCACAGAGATCCGCCTGGCTCTGCCTCCCGAGTGCTGGGATTAAAGGTGTGCGCCACCACCGCCCGGCTAGACTGATTTTTTTAACGCAATGAAACATGAAGAAAACTGCACCACACCATAGACATATTGCTACAGCTAGTGGAAATAACAAAGGTCTTCGGTGTGGAACTCATTCTGCAGACCAGGCTGGCCTCTAACTCAGATTCTCCTGCCTCAGTCCCCGAGTGCTGGGATCAAAGGTGTGTGTCCCCATGCCCTGAATCTTTCTCTTTCTTGTAAGTCTGCGTGATTTTTGTTAAGCAAAGCGCAGGCTATGGAAGTCTGAATTTAAGTTCCTGCTCTGCATTTACCGAGTCCTCCAGAGCTCTGAGTACTCCTCACCTATGACGTGAGACCACCACCTGGTATTCACTTAAGCAGTGGCAGGAACTTAAAGGGCAACATATAAAGCATCTGGATGAACAAGGTCTTAGCACACAGCAGGACCCCTGGCTAAGAGGCTCTCGCTGATGTCCATGGCCATGCCACTCTTACGATGCTGTTGACATTTCTGTAAATGTTGAAGTGTAAATGGGAACTTAGGCATCTGGAGCTGGAGAGATGCTGAACAGTTAGCAGCACTTGCTGCTCTTACAGAGAGCCAGGCTTCAGTTCCCAGCACCCACACTGCGTGGCACAACCACCTGCAATTTCCAGTTGCAGGGGACCTGACACCCTCTTCGGGTCTCCTCACGCAGACACTCATGTGTGCACACAAGATAAAAATAAACCTTTCTTAAAAAATAAAAGAGAGCAAAGGAAATTAGACAACTTACCTAAAAAATATAAGAGCATTTTGAAAGAACACAGCTAGTCCGGGATAAACATCAATATCTGCACACAAAAAAACGAAACACGTTAGAGGAGGACCGGCCGGGGCGAGCCATGCCATTCATAGTGACAGACTCTGTGCATTAGAATACAGGACGCATCAGAATACAGGACGCATTAGAATACAGGATGCATCAGAATACAGGACGCATCAGAATACAGGATGCATCAGAATACAGGACGCATCAGAATACAGGACGCATTAGAATACAGGACGCATTAGAATACAGGACGCATCAGAATACAGGATGCATTAGAATACAGGATGCATTAGAATACAGGACGCATTAGAATGCAGGACGCATTAGAATGCACCCACTCTAAGACGTCTGCAATGGAACAAATGATTTCATTCCCTGAAACAAAAGATTGCTTTTACTCTAGATACACGTCATCAGGCTCTCTCTTTGTCTAACTCATAGGGCTCGGCTCAGGCCACATCAAAGGTGCTATGACTGGGTTCCAGCCATGTGGGAGGCTGGAGCAGCAGGACCACTTAGTCCAGGAGACTGAGGCCAGTCTGGGAAACAGAGAGATACCGTCAAAACAAAAACAAAACAAACAAAAAACAAAAAAACAGTGCCAAGAAAGCAAAACACCTTTGCCTGGTAAGGCAAACACAGAATTTTAACAGGGAGTTAGCTACATTCCTGATTCTTTAAAGGGACTTACTTCCTTCCATGAGTTCACATGTGACATCATCAAAATGGGGGTGATACAAAAGGAGCCGCCATGTTCTTCCCCTGACTGAAGGAATCAGCTAATATAGCCACAGAAAGATATGAGTTTTGCTAAACTGTAACTATTGATGTAAAAACCACTGGCCATGATAAAGACACTTGTTTACATTTCGAGCTTTTGAGAGCATAGAAAGAACCAAACAGCAGGTTTGTTGGAGTCTGAGCTGAGTTCTTGGTGTTGACTCCTAATTCTGTTACCGACTAAATGAGGTGAGCAGGTTACTAAACCTCAATATCTTAATTTTCTCTCCTGTAGAATGGGCATTCTAACGGTGTCCACCGCACAGGGAGTGGGAACTGAAAAGGTGACCCTGTGTGATATTTGCAACAGTACTTGGACCACTGAGTGACACCAGATGTAACACCTTATCTAAAAGGCTTGGGATCCGATTTTGGTTTTTAGATTTGGGAACACTTGCATATGCATATCTTGGGAATGGGACCCCAAGCGTGTTCGGTTGGGACCCAATATGAAGTTCAGTTATGTTGCACATAAACCTTCACACACAGTGCGAAAGTGATTTTATAGAATGTTTAGTACACCTGTTTTAATTTTGGTTTGGTTAAGGTTTTGGAGACAGGGTTTCTCTGTGTAGTTCTGGTTGTCCTGGAATTTGTTCTGTAGACTAGGCTGGCCTCTACTCAGAGATCCGTCTGCCTCTGTGTCCCAAGTCCTGGGATCAAAGGCGTGCGCCCCCACTGCCTGGGTTAGTCCACCTGTTTTGACTGCAACCCACACAAGGTCAGGGGCTGCCTTCAGGACCTGTGGAGTCATGCCAGAACTCAGTTTCTGTTTCCAATTTCAGATTAGAGATATTCAATGTACACATAAATGGTAGCTGCTATTATAAATATTAATAGTTCAAGCAAAGCTATATAGTGAAATTTGAACTAGTCAGAAATGGCCCCTGGAATAAAAGTACACTCACTTTCTTAAGTGAGGAAGTATACGGAATGAGCAAAGCTGACAGAATCAGGAGGAACCCTAACTGAGAGGGTTCTCACTGTGAACTGTTTTTAAGATTAGACACAGGAAGTGGGCTGGAGAGATGGCTCAGAGGTTAAGAGCACCAACTGCTCCTCCAGAGGTCCTGAGTTCAATTCCCAGCACCCACAGGGTGGCTCACAACCATCTGTAATGAGATCTGGCGCCCTCTTCTGTGTACATAACAAATAAATAAAGCTTAAAAAAAAAGACACAGGAAGAGCGCAACTCTACAAGGGTTCCCAACCCTGTGCGGGAGTGCCAGCCCATTCCCATTTCCAGTAGAGGGCAGGAAACAGTTTGTCTGCTTCCCAGAGGGGACGAGTGGGAGCCATTGCCTAGCGCTGTCTTTCTGCTTTGAGTTCCACTTCTGAGTTCTAACTTAGTCTGGAAGCAAACTAAAAACTAATGGATGTTATGCCGCACCCCGCTGTGTCTGGTGTGGCCTCCCGCAGCCGAACACACTTAACTCAGCTCCACTCCTGCAATACCATACTTGGAATATTTAGAATGAATGTGGTAAAGACTACAGGAGCCATATGTCCATTCAGATCAGGTTTCATTGCGAACCAGTAAAGAGAAGCTTGATTGTCAGTATTCTGGGCATAAAGGGACCGACACAACAGACCTGGATCCGTCTCTCACGGCAGCCCCTAGAACTTAGCTGCCCAAGGGAAGGCGATCAGAAACTCTAGATATAGCTATGAGGGGCTGGGCTGGTTAGCGGCTGGGCTTTCCTCTGGGCCATCCCACTTCCAAAGACAGACTTTATTATCAGTGGTCTTCACACAGAGGAAGAATTTAACCTAATCCACTAATGTTTACTCCAAATGGACCGGACAGACCAAGCCAAACATAAAGCCCACCCGGACATAAAGGAGGAACGCACACTTACTCTGAGTAACGTATGCACCGAAAAGAATCCACATGGAAGCAATAAGTGACCCGAACATCAGCATGAAACCGATGAAGAGCCAGACTCGGGCACCTGTGTGCAGAAGAGAAACTAACATCTGAGCAAGTCAGGTAAACGGCACTGACAATTAGTTGACAAAGTTGGCTTGTTAAAAAACCATAACTGAAAGGCCTCCTGCTGCTCACATAGTCAAATAATTGCTGCATCAGATAGCCACCTCCAGCAGACAGGAGTGGTTGAGGTCGGGGTCCCCCTGAATCAGTGTGCTTCTAACAGCGGCACACCCCACCACACCCACACCACTGCACAGCGACTGTCTGTAGGGACAGTCTGACTGCTCTGTAAGGAAGACAGTCTGCACTACACACCCTTGATGAGTTCAAGGCACAAGTGCCTCTCAGCCCAGGGTCATGGATGTCGAGAGCCTCAGTGACAATTATCTGGATGCTCAAGTGGATTCAACCCATTTTTAGAAAGCAGGAGTGATGGTCAATCTATTTTTTTTTTTTTAGATTTATTTATTTATTATGTATACAGTGTTCTGTCTGCATATATTCCCGCAGGCCAGAAGAGGGCACCAGATCTCACTACAGATGGCTGCTGGGAATTGAACTCGGGACCTTCCAGAGCTGCCTGTGCTCTTAACCTCTGAGCCATCTCTCCAGCCAGTGATAGTCAGTCTGATGAGACTGAAAGTCTCCCTGGAAATGCATCTGGGCACGTCCGTATGGGTGCTTCTAGGCTGGTTAATTGAGATGGGAGACTCACCCGGTGTGGGTGCCTACCACTCCAGGGTTCTAAACAGAAAGAGAAACCTGGCTGGGAAATGGCTCAGTCAGTCGAGCCCTGCCGCAGAAGCCTGAGGACCGTGGGCAAGATCTCCCACACCTACGTGTTAATAAGAAGCCCAGAGCAGCAGTGCACACGCGTGCCCCAGCATGTCGGGGGCAGAAACAGGCAGATCCTTGGGGCCCACTGCCAACCAAATCCATGAACTCCGGGATCAGTGAGAGACCATGTCTTACAACTTAAGGGCGGGACTGGAGAGATGGATCCGCTGGTAAGAGGACTTGCTGCTCTTGCGGCAGACCCAGGTTCAGTGCCCAGTACCTGTGGGGCAGCTCACAACCCTCCGTACCTAGGTTTCAGGGGACCTAACATCCTCTTCTGGCCTCCCGGACACCAGGCACTGCACACAGTGCACTCACACACATTCGGGCAAAACACTCGTACACGGGAAATAAAACCAGAGACTGGAGAGACTGCCGAGGAGGAGGCCCTGACTCTTCTCTGGCCTCAGCCCACTCTCTGAGCACTCCCCCAGAGCTCACGGCACCCTTACCTGTCCTTCCCAAACAGCCGCTTTCATAGCTGTCGCCCCTCACTTGCGCGTTGGACACAGCATTGATCCTAGAATGACACAAAATCAGCCAATGAGCTTTCATGTCAGGAAAATAGACCCAGATATTTGTGTGTCATTTAGAAGAGAAACAGACTATTTCCTAACGAGAGCCAGTATTTTGAAAGCTACGTAGTTAACTAAACAGAAATCCAAGCGCGTAGAAATATTCTTTTTGTTTCCCCTAAAGCACACCCGGAAAACACACTGAGCTTATCACTTGTCCCAGAGAGCATGGAAGAGCAGCTAATCTCCTCCTTCCTTCTCTTTTTCTCTTTCTTTTGACGCAGGGTCTCACTACTGTAGCCTTGTTATCTAGAACAAGCTGGCCTCCAATTCACAGAGATCTATCCACCTGCTCTGCCTCCCAAATACCGGGATTAAAGGCGTGCGCCACCACCGCCGGCCCTAGCTTCTCATTTTATTGCCTATTTTATACATGTATATATAGATGAGACTCAGTTACCCCATTTTAGAGTTTTCATTATAATAAAGAGTTAGACAGGTGGGGCTGGAGATGGCTCAGTAGTTGAGAGCATCGGCTAAAAGACCAGGTTCGATTCCCAGCACCCACATCTGATAAAAATAATTTTAAGAAATATTAGAAAGACTAAATAGGAGCTGAGGTGTAGCTCGGTGTCAAAGCACATGCTCAATATGAATAAGGCCGTGGGTTAAACTGAGAGATGGGGAGGGAGGGAGGGAGAACAGGTGTTCTAATAGAGGGGCTGCTTACCACAGCTTGAATGGATAGTGAACAGTTTTATCTTTCATAATATCACCTTCCAGTCTACATACTGAGTTCCAGTAGGGATACACAGAAAGATCCTATCTCAAAATAAATGAATCAATAACTAAGCATATAATTAGAATAAAAATGTTAGGCCAGGTGTGGTGGGACACACATTTAATCCCAGCACTTGGGGGGCAGAGGCAGGTGGATCTCCGTGAGTTCTAAGAGAGTTTGGTCTACAGAGCGAGTTCCAGGGCAGCCAGGACTACAGAGTAAGACCCTGTCTCAAAAACTAGAAAGTTAAAAGACACCCACAAAAGTTTCCAAACTCTGTGCATCAGAATACTGGACAAACCTTAAACAAATCTAATAAAGAATCAAAGCCTCAATCTGACTTCACTGGAGTCCACCTTGCCCTCTGTCAGAGAGCACCCGGGAAAGCAGTAACAGTACCCAGGTAAAGATAGCACCCAGGAAAGCAGCAACAGTACCCAGGTAAAGACAGCACCCAGGAAAGCAGTAACAGTACTCAGGTAAAGACAGCACCCGGGAAAGCAGTAACAGTACCCAGGTAAAGACAGCACCCGGGAAAGCAGTAACAGTACCCAGGTAAAGACAGCACCCGGGAAAGCAGTAACAGTACCCAGGTAAAGATAGCACCCAGGAAAGCAGCAACAGTACCCAGGTAAAGACAGCACCCGGGAAAGCAGTAACAGTACTCAGGTAAAGACAGCACCCGGGAAAGCGGTAACAGTACCCAGGTAAAGACAGCACCCGGGAAAGCAGTAACAGTACCCAGGTAAAGACAGCACCCGGGAAAGCAGTAACAGTACCCAGGTAAAGACAGCACCCGGGAAAGCAGTAACAACACCCAGGGTAAAGACAGCACACGGGAAAGCAGTAACAGTACCCAGGTAAAGACAGCACCCGGGAAAGCAGTAACAGTACCCAGGTAAAGACAGCACACGGGAAAGCAGTAACAGTACCCAGGTAAAGACAGTACCCGGGAAAGCGGTAACAGTACCCAGGTAAAGACAGCACCCGGGAAAGCAGTAACAGTACTCAGGTAAAGACAGCACCCGGGAAAAGCAGTAACAGTACCCAGGTAAAGACAGCACCCGGGAAAGCGGTAACAGTACCCAGGGTAAAGACAGCACCCGGGAAAGCAGTAACAGTACCCAGGGTAAAGACAGCACCCGGGAAAGCGTTAACAGTACCCAGGTAAAGACAGCACCCAGGAAAGCAGTAACAGTACCCAAGGTAAAGACAGCACCCGGGAAAGCAGTAACGGTACCCAGGTAAAGACAGCACATGGGAAAGCAGTAACAGTACCCAGGTAAAGACAGCACCCAGGTAAAGACAGCACCCGGGAAAGCAGTAACAGTACCCAGGGTAAAGACAGCACCCGGGAAAGCAGTTACAGTACTCAGGTAAAGACAGCATCCGGGAAAAGCAGTAACAGTACCCAGGTAAAGACAGCACCCGGGAAAGCAGTAACAGTACCCAGGTAAAGACAGCACCCGGGAAAGCGGTAACAGTACCCAGGTAAAGACAGCACCCGGGAAAGCAGTAACAGTACTCAGGTAAAGACAGCACCCGGGAAAGCAGTAACGGTACCCAGGTAAAGACAGCACACGGGAAAGCAGTAACAGTACCCAGGTAAAGACAGTACCCGGGAAAAGCAGTAACAGTACCCAGGTAAAGACAGCACCCGGGAAAGCAGTAACAGTACCCAAGGTAAAAACAGCACCCGGGAAAGCAGTAACGGTACCCAGGTAAAGACAGCACCCGGGAAAGCAGTTACAGTACCCAGGTAAAGACAGCACCCGGGAAAGCGGTAACAGTACCTAGGGTAAAGGCAGCACCCGGGAAAGCAGTAACGGTACCCAGGTAAAGACAGCACCCGGGAAAGCAGTAACAGTACCCAGGTAAAGACAGCACCCGGGAAAGCAGTAACAGTACCCAAGGTAAAAACAGCACCCGGGAAAGCAGTAACGGTACCCAGGTAAAGACAGCACACGGGAAAGCAGTAACAGTACCCAGGTAAAGACAGCACCCAGGTAAAGACAGCACCCGGGAAAGCAGTAACAGTACCCAGGGTAAAGACAGCACCCGGGAAAGCAGTTACAGTACCCAGGGTAAAGACAGCACCCGGGAAAGCAGTAACAGTACCCAGGGTAAAGACAGCACACGGGAAAGCAGTAACAGTACTCAGGTAATGACAGCACCCGGGAAAAGCAGTAACAGTACCCAGGTAAAGACAGCACCCGGGAAAGCAGTAACAGTACCCAGGTAAAGACAGCACCCGGGAAAGCGGTAACAGTACCCAGGTAAAGACAGCACCCGGGAAAGCAGTAACAGTACCCAGGTAAAGACAGCACCCGGGAAAGCAGTAACAGTACCTAGGGTAAAGGCAGCACCCGGGAAAGCAGTAACGGTACCCAGGTAAAGACAGCACCCGGGAAAGCGGTAACGGTACCCAGGTAAAGACAGCACCTGGGAAAGCAGTAACAGTACCTAGGGTAAAGGCAGCACCCGGGAAAGCAGTAACAGTACCCAGGGTAAAGACAGCACCCGGGAAAGCGGTTAACGGTACCCAGGTAAAGACAGCACCCGGGAAAGCGGTAATAGTACCCAGGTAAAGACAGCACCCGGGAAAGCGGGTAACAGTACCCAGGGTAAAGACAGCACCTGGGAAAGCGGTAACAACACCCAGGTAAAGACAGCACACGGGAAAGCAGTAACAGTACCCAGGTAAAGACAGCACCTGGGAAAGCGGTAACAGTACCCAGGTAAAGACAGCACCCGGGAAAGCGGTAACAGTACCCAGGTAAAGACAGCACCCGGGGAAAGCGGTAACAGTACCCAGGTAAAGACAGCACCCGGGAAAGCGGTAACAGTACCCAGGTAAAGACAGCACCCGAGAAAGCAGTAACAACATTCCAGAGTAAAAGCTGAGCAGTTAGACGGGTTCACAGGCCCTGAAATCCAAGGTGCTGCTGGTTCATTATGAGATGTGCTGTTTGTTAGTTTTTAATGATGCCAAGAAAGGAAAAGTGTTTGGGCTGGAGAGATGGCTCTGTGGTTAAGGGCACTGGCTGCTCTTACAGAGGTCCGTGGTTCATCCCTAACACTCAAGAGGCGGCTCACAAGTGTCTGTGACTCCAGTTCCAGGGCATCTGATGCCCTCTTCTGGCTTCCACAGCACCAGGCACACACGTGGCACACAGACATATATGTGGGCAGACACCCACACACAGAAGATAAGCAAATAAGAGGAAGAGTCTACTTTTGGGAACTGACAAATATGACCATCAAATACAAGGAGAAAGGGACGTGGCCATCTTACGGCCACCGGGAAGAAGTGACTAGGTTCTACACTCATTCTAGCCACACAGAAGGAGGAAAGACTCGTGGGGCTGGAGAGATGGTTCAGTGGGTGGAGGTTCGTGCTGCTCAGCCTGGAGCCCTGACTTTGATCCTCAGAACCCACATAAAGGGGGAGGAGAAAGCCAACTCCACAAAGTTGTTTTCTGACCACCACACACAAAGGTACACACACACACACACACACACACACACACACTCAATGGTACATGTCCAGGTCACAAACACACACACATGCTCAGGCTCACACACAAACACACACACATGTGTGCACAAAATTTATTCTTAAAAAAGGATTATTAATAAAAGGGAAATAAGGCCGGGAGGTGGTGGCACACACCTTAAATCCCAGCACTTGGGAGGCAGAGGCAGGCAAATCACTGAATTTGAGGCCAGCCTGGTCTACAAAGTGAGTTCCAGAACAGCCAAGACTGCTGCCCAGAGAAGCCTGTCCTGAAGAAAAAAGAAAGGTGGGGGAGGGGTAAATTCAACATGTTAAAGAGGAATCCATCAAGGCTGGAGAGATGGCCCAGAGGTTAGGAGCACTGGCCACTCTTCCAGAGGTCCTGAGTTCAATTCCAGCAACCACATGGTGGCTCACAACCATCTGTAGTGGGATCTGGTGCCCTCTTCTGACCTGCAGGTATACATGTAGACTCATAAAAAATTTTTTAAAAATTTAAAAAATTTCAAAAAAGTAGAAAAAAAGAAGAATCCATCAATAAAGGTCAGAAGTTTAAAAAACCATTAAAGGTTGAGGAAGACTATTTTTTTCAAAAGGCAATGCTACATTGAGACTCACTTCACACTTACATGAAGAAAGCCAGTGTGGAGAACACACCACACGTGTGAAAAGCGTGGTTCAACTGCTCGGGCTTCGGATAGACCACCGCGGCGTCGATCATTATCCACCAACCTGTAAAAAACTGAGAAAGAGCCCGAGACGGCGGCGTGTTAAACTCACGTCATCGCTCTTCAATGGCCTACCTCCCCGAAGGATAAGTGAAGTACTTCTACTTTTGGGTGACGGGGGGTGGGGGTGGGGGGTGTGGGGGGGTGCTAGATCATAAAACTATCATTCGTGGGGTACCTGTTTTTACATCTGATGATGTGAGATACCTAGTCAAATCTGAGTAAGAGTCTCATCGCTCATGACTAGCCTTCTTTAACTAACCAGCAGCCTCCCTAACTAGCCAGCAGCCTCCTTTAACTAACCAGCAGCCTCCCTAACTAGCCAGCAGCCTCCCTAACTAGCCAGCAGCCTCCTTTAACTAACCAGCAGCCTCCCTAACTAGCCAGCAGCCTCCTTTAACTAACCAGCAGCCTCCCTAACTAACCAGCAGCCTCCCTAACTAACCAGCAGCCTCCCTCACTAGCCAGCAGCCTCCCTCACTAGCCAGCAGCCTCCCTCACTAGCCAGCAGCCTCCTTCACCCCCAGCTCTCCCCGGCTCCTGCAGCTCTCCTCTCTGAACAGCGCCCACGGGTCTGCCCCACAGAAGCTGCTCTCCTCAGCTGCTCACTTAGCAGAAGTCAGCCCTCACAGCTCCCAGACTATAAAGACCTGCTACTGTTTTAGTTTACGTGATTGAATTGAGTGCCCTGTAGCTGACTGGACATGAGTCTAAAAAGTGTGAGGTTTCCACGTCAACCAAACTGAGCACACCTAAACAGACAGGTGCCAAAGACTGTCCAGAGAAATTAAGAACAGGTGTGAGAACCCTTTTCTCAACTGACAAAATCAGAGAATTACATCATCTTTTCATGTTTGAGAGTCCAGCTGGGTGTGGTGGTACACACCTTTAATCCCAGCACTCCGGAGGCAGAGGCAGGCGGATCTCTCTGAGTTCGAGGCCAGCCTGGTCTACAGAGTGAGATCCAGGACAGCCAGGGCTACACAGAGAAACCCTGTCTCAGAAAAGAGAGAGAGAGAGACAGAGACAGAAAGAGACAGAGAGACAGACAGACAGAGAGAGAGAGAGAGAGAGAGAGACAGAGAGAGAGAGACAGAGAGAGAGAGAGACAGAGAGAGAGAGACAGAGAGAGAGAGAGACAGAGAGAGAATTCAAAACTCATTTTAAAACATCTATGGGAAGGCCCCAAACCCTTGCATTAAGTTAGAGAACAGTTAAACCTGGGCTCTCCTGCCCAGGACACACACAACCGGCAGAGCTCATTCGAGCACAGCCCTTGGTCTATCCCCGGCACAACAGAAGCCAGGCAAAGGAGTACAAGGTTGTTTTTGGCTATACAGCAAGTTCAAAGCCAGCCTGGGATATATGAACTCTTGTGTGAAAAGGAGAGAAAGAGGAAAAATGGCTCAGATAAACATGTTCCACCCCAGGAACGCACACGGGAGGAGAGAACCAGTTCCCAAAGTTATCCTCTGACCTGCATACATGTGCCATCGTGTACCCCCCCACACACCCACACACACACAAATAAATACATATGATAAAAAGCTAAAGCAAAAGAACAGAGAAAGACTGGGCATGGTGACTCATGACTATTGTCCCGGCACACAGAAGGTTCACCTTCAGGTCAGCCTGGGCTCTGGGGTGAGTTCTAGGGAAGCCAGGGCTACAGGGTGAGACCTGTTTCAAACAAAAAAAAGGAAGAAGAAAGTGAAAGAGAGAGAGAGAGAGACAGAGAGCGAGAGAGCGAGAGAGCGAGAGCGAGAGCGAGAGAGAGAGAGAGAGAGAGAGAGAGAGAGAGAGAGAGAGAGAGAAAGCTAGGCAAGGTGGTACATGCCTGTAATTCCAACACTTGGGAGATAGAGGCAGAAGGACCTCAAAGTTGAGACCAGCCTAGGCTATATACTAAGACAAGCAAGCAGGGGAAGGGGATAAACATTACAAAATATAAAAGATTCGGGAATTTGTTTTGTTTTTAATGCCGTAGAGGCATTGCAGGAGTCTGTGTTGAATAAGCACTCCGATACCAATGAGAGTGGAAGAGCGGCGATGTCACAGAAGCCAGGACACAAGGATGGACAGAAGCCAGGACGGCTCCAGAGAGACCTTGACCTCAGGTCCGGTCTGCACTCTCACTTTACACTCTGAAACTGCATGGCGGACAGGAGGTTGTTAAGGGCGATGACCCATCTTCGGTTATCCCTCCAGGTCGGTCTGTCCCAAGTGAAGCCATGCTTGGCAAATAGCCAGGACATGCAGTGCTTTAAGGAAATCACTGAATAAATCAACAAATCAGTATCTAGTAATCAGTCTTTTCTACTTATTCTACCTCAGAGACAGAAAATGGTTCACAGAATAGAAAGACTGTTCAGGTCATGATTCACAAACAACAATAACAACAAAATAAAACAAGTCAGCCTGGCGGCTCCCATCTGTAACCTCAATATTCGGGAAGCAGAGGCACGGCCAGGAGCTAAGTGGGTCCTCACTGTAGACTCTGTCCCCAAAATAAATAAATGAAACGGAAGATTTGGGAAGCCAGATGCAGGTGTGCAAGTGACAAGTATTGTTACTACTCCTTTGTTGTTGTTGCCGTTGTTTATTTTTTGTTTTAAATCCTGACCAACATTTCTCCTCCTTCCTCTCCTCCCAGTCTCTGATCCCTGCCCTGCCCCCACAACTACTTTCTTTTAAAGTCTTGATATTTTCCATAACAAAAAAATTAAGTAAAACAAAACAGGAAGAAAGGTAAGCAAGCCCACTCCGTGGTTCACACCTTCAATCCTGTACTTAAGGCCAGCCTAGGATACATAGTGAGTTTGAGGCCAGCCTGGGCTACATGAGACCCTGTCTCAACAAAACAAGAGAAAGGTCTCCTCCACAAACTTCCTTCTGGGTCTGCGGGGCTGAGGCGTCGGATCTTACAAAGCGGAAGGTATTACCGCTGTCTACACAGCCAGTCCTGAATGAGTCCCAGGAACTCGGAGTGACATCAAATTCCCAGGCTCTCACAAATACTGCAACTGACGAGCAGACACCAGATTTACACCATCCTCGCAGCTGAATCAACCTGGGATTGGGGCTGGATCTCAGCTCAGTGGGTAAGGTGCCTGCCTGGCACCTTTAACCCCCAGCACTGCACAGACCCCTGGAATCCCAACAGCTGTGAGGCAGAGGCAGGACAGGAGTGCAAGGCAAGCCTGGACTACACATACCTCACCTCCAAAACCAAAATGAAAACCCCACCAGGCTATGTAATAACATTACCTATCCTCAGGAGCAGTGGAATGACATGATTCTGGCAGACTGTTACCATTAATTTTGATCATGAATTCAAAGGCATGATGTCACCAACACATCTCTCTCACTTACCAATATGCCCGCAACCACCGAGGCCACAGTATTTCTTCTCTCGCTCCAGTCAATACATTCACACTCTGGCCACCGGAAGTTATCTAGGAAGCCTGCCATCTTTACTCTGTAAGCATGGATTGTTCATTAAGTAACGTTTCCTAAAAGACAAAAAATAACCAAATTCAAGAAACGCTTCCTAAAAACTATTTAGTTTCATTTATGTGTATGTGTGTTACTGGAGACAGGGTGCCCACAGATGCCAGAAGAGGAGGTTGGGTCCTTTGGATCTGGAATTACAGAGGTCTGCCACCTGACATGGGGTCTGCGAGCCAAACTTGGGTCCTTCAGAAGAACAACATAAGCCCTTCCTTAATCACTGAGCCACCTCTCCTGTCCCAGGAAATTCATTCAGGAAGTAAAATATCTAGCTGGTGTGCTGGTGCACCCTTTTAATCCCAGAAGCAGGCAGATTTCTGTGAGTTCCAGGCCAGCCTGGTCTACATAGCAAGTTGTAGACCAGCCAGTGCTACATAGCGAGACCTGTCTCAAATAACTAACTAAATAAATGTCATACTCCTTTACTAGCGTTTTAATCCTAAACTGACTTAAGTTCTTATCTACTACAGTTATGAAAACTACACTTCAAGGAGTACCTATCGTCATGGTGGTGGTGTCCCACGCCTTTGGGAGGCAGAGGCAGATGATTGGAGGCCAGCCTGGTCTACAAAGCGAGTTCCAGGACAGCCAGAGCTACACAGAGAAACCCTGTGGGGGGGGGGGGGGGGAGAAAACAAACAAACAAACCAACCCAAGGCAAAACAAAACCTATTGAGATGAATGTAGGGTTGTACTTGGACACCAGGGGGCGCTACCTTTTTAAGTGGTCATTTCGGTTTCAGCACCTGCAGGTGTTGGGGCAGCACCCAGCGGCAGAGAACAGGAAAGCAGGGGACCTTGGTTTGTTTGATCGGCAGCACCACAAAACGAAAACAAAAACAAAATGGCTGTCTGCAAATTCTTTGACACATCTTCCATTCAGAGGAGAATGTGTGTCCTCTCGAATTTGAGTCAACAGTCAGGACCAAAATGGGGGGAATACACTATGTAATTTCTCACACCTCTTGAATTTGATCCAATAAAGATTGATAACCAAAACAAAAGAAGAAATACCGTGTAGCTTCTTCCATACAACCTCTAAGATTAGGTCACAGCAGGCAATGCAGCTCCACCTGGTTCTCTGGACCAGCGTGGAAAATCTCCAAAGCTACCACGCTGTGAAGAAACCACAGCTCAGCTGAGTCCCTGCCAGTAAACAGCCTCAGGGGCCATGCATGCGTAAAGTAGGTGACTGCAGTCTTAGACAGAGTGTCACCGTCTGCTTTGAGCCTTCCCAGGTAAGGTGCCAGATATAGGGAGCAGAGACACAGCATCTTGGCTGGGCCCTTTCCAGTCTCTACACAGACCTAGTAAGTAAAACAAAAGGCACCTGCAGCCTCTAGGGTTTGCTGTGAATCTATAACGCAGCAGCAGTTAATGAAGGGGAGAATGGTGGGAGGCTAGAATAGAGAATAGTGAAGAATGTTCAGTGCGGCATACTGGCCCACGGGAGCACACGCCCTCGATCCCAGCACTCAGGAGCCAGAGGCAGCCAGATCACTGTGAGTTCTAGGACAGCCAGGGGACATAGTGAGACCGTCTCAAAACAACAACAAAAATAAACAAACAAATAAATACATGAGAGAGAGCAGCACACTACATTATACTATAATAAAAACAAAAAGACTGCCCCAACAGGAGGTTCGGAACCATCATAACTTCTAAAAAGGACAAGAAAAAAACTTTATTTTAAAACACTAGATATTGCTTTTCAAAAGTAGCAAGAATCTGCAGAGACTCAACCTTATGAGCAATAAAACTCAATTAATGAGCTGCTTTTACACAGTCCCACCCAACCCCTACGCTCCCACTCCCAGTCTAGGAAACACAAGAAAACATGGCCTTGCTGGATAGAGATGTCAGGTCAGCCGGGGACTGAGAGGGAAGTCTGCAGGAACAGGTCATGGGGATAATCCCCACACCTTAGTGTACACTCCCTTCTGATACCTTCGACTGAGCACCTGTGTTTGGAGACCCCAGGGAAACCAGCTGATGGCTGGCAGAATAAAGAGTCTAGCTGCTGTTCTCTGCATAGGAAACACGGTGGGGCTCAGTTTCACCAAGTCAGAGGGAATTTCCAGGCATATCCTAACAAAGAACAAAACCTCGTCTCACAATGTGACCAAGGTGACCAACCAGCCAGTATCTTAGCTGCCTCATACAACAAAGAGCAATATTAGCACTTTGAGCAAGATATTCTGCAGACATGTTATCATATTGTTAGCAAAAGATTAAATGTTAACCAGTGAAAAGCCGGGCGTCAGGAAGGTCACTATCAAGGTGAAACAATACCTGAAGGTCACGAGGTGAACTTCATTTCCCACAAACACTCATTCTCAAACTCATTTCCTGTTGGAAGTAGGTCTAAAAGCAGAGAATTCATAGCTATTTCCACACACTGATTTGTGTTGTAGAATATTATTTTAAGTGTGTTACTTTTGTTTATGTTGCATTTGTTAAACTCTGTGAAGCTGTGTTACTGTGCCTGTCTAAAACACCTGATGGTCTAACAAAGATTTTTTTTTTAAACTCATTCATTCTTTTTAAAGATTTATTTATTACGTATACAGTGCAGAACACCAGAAGAGGGCACCAGATCTCATTACAGATGGTTGTGAGTCATCGTGTGGTTGCTGGGAATTGAACTCAGGACCTCTGGAAGAGTAGCCAGTGCTCTTAACCTCTGAGCCATCCCTCCAGCCCCCTAATAAAGATCTTAATGGCCAATAGCAAGGCAGGAGAAAGGATGGGTAGGGCTGCAGGCAGAGACTATATAGAGGGAGAATCTGGGAGGAGGAGGAGAAGAAGTAACCAGAGAAGGAGAAGGGCCTCCAGGGGCCAGTCACCCAGCTACACAGCAAGCCATGGAGTAAGAATAAGGTTTACAGAAGTAAGAGAATGGGAAAAGCCCAGAGGCAAAAGGGAGATGGGATAATTTAAGTTAAGGAAAGCTGGCTAGAAACAAGTCAAGCTAAGGCCAGGCATTTATAATTAAGAATAAACCTCCATGTGTGGATTTATTTGGGAGCTGGGTGGTGGGCGCCCCAAAAGAACAAAAACAACCAACAACATATTTGTGACCTTCCTGTGGCTTAAACTGCATGGGTCAGGGATGGGGTAGAACAGAAGAACATGGAAACTAATGAGATGAGGGACATGCAAAAGAGGCATAGCAAAAATAAGAGAAAGTATATCCAAACCCTTGGGTCTCAACCATAAAGAATTCCCTGGCACCAAAGACAGTCGGCAAGTACTGAAGTGGGGCAAGGGGCTTGGAATCACGTGGAGAAAGGCAGTTAAGAGCTTGATCCCAATAAGGATTATTGTGGACCTCACTAAAGATTAGGGTTTTGCTGGCTGTAAAGAGGAAGCCAACTGAGGAACTCTCAGGAGAAAAGGGCCAGAACACCAAGACCCCAGAAGCATGGTGAGCATGGGAGGGTACAGAGTCCTACTAAGAACTAACACTCTCAACTGGGAAGCTCAGCCTTCATGATGACTGCACTGTTGATATTTACCACCCGAAACTCCAGTTCTAAGGGACCAAATGTCCTTTCTGGCCTCAGGCACCATGCACACATGTGGTACACATTCATACATACAAGCAAGTACTCATGTACACAAGATAAAAATAACTAAAGCTTTACATTTTTTAAATATTATTTTCTGTGTGTGTATGTGCCGAGTGTATGCATGGTGCACATGCATGAGGAGCCACAGAGGTACAAAGGAACATCAGATCCCCTGGAGCTGGAGTTACAGGTAGTTGTGAGCTGCTATTGTGGGTGCTGGGAACTGAACCCAGGTCTCCTGTAAGAGCAGTAAGTACTCTTAACCTCTAAGCCATCTCCTGTCTCCCAATCAACCTGAAAACAAAATCCCAGGTGAACAGCCAGTGCAGCCCACAGATTACCCTGCGGGCCTTTGCTCTAAACAACAGGAAACCACAAGAGGTTTGCCAGCGAGGAAGTGACAGGAGCAGACCTGAAACTTAGAAGGACAATCCTGGTCGTGGCTCGTCAGCTACAGGGGCTGAAGAGGAACAAAAAGCGTTTGCGTAATAAGAGGAGAAGAAGAAACTGAGCCACACTTACAAGCCAAGGAAAAGGATTCCTTAGACGTGTTTTTAAGACACTAGCAACAGGCAGGAATGCTCTCAGGCTTCTCAAAACTGGGTCTGCTGATGGGGACGTGGGAGAGGTCAGTAAGTGTGCAGGACACGAAGTGCAGGACCTGCAGGTGGAAACCATCAGAAGACAGCCGAAACCGTCTAGAAGGGAGGCTGTCAGAGGCGGGGTGCTGCCCAAAGTAGTGATCCAGCCAGGGCTTTGGAGAAACTGGTCATGTGACAGATGGGCGCTCTCTATTTCCTGTCTTCCCTGGGATGGGGCTGCCCACAGCAGGTAGGTTCACACCGTGGTGTTAACTAGCACAGAACCCCTCTAGAGCATTTTCTAGATATTTACAGAAGTGCCTCCTGTGGGGGTGGGGGAAGCTGGGGGTTGGGGTGGCAAAGATCAGTAAGACTGGGCCTCCATCATTAGAGGGCTTACATGCTCGGGCAGACTCAGCTCTTCTAAATTCTTTTTTTTTTTTGGTTTTTCGAGACAGGGTTTCTCTGTGTAGCTTTGCGCCTTTCCTGGAACTCACTTGGTAGCCCAGGCTGGCCTCGAACTCACAGAGATTCGCCTGGCTCTGTCTCCCAAGTGCTGGGATTAAAGGCGTGCGCCACCACCGCCCGGCTTCAGCTCTTCTAAATTCTTGATTCTGTTTGTTTGTTTGTTTTCTTTTTTGAGACAGTCTCATGTAGCCCGCGCCAACCCCAAATTCACTGTCTAGCAGAGGTTAGCCTTGAATGGCTGACCCCCACCTCTACCTCCCAAGTGCTGGGATTACAGGTGTCAGGAGCACATGGGCTAACTGTAGTCTGCACATTAAAAACTCCGGGGCTGGGGAGGTGCCAATCAGTAAAGTGTCTGTCACATAAGTGTGAGATCTTGCA